TTAGTCTTATTACCTTATATTTCTATAATTTCAACTACAGTTAAACCTGTCTATAGTACCCTATTTTGGTGAGTTCCAAGAGGGGGCTCAATAAACAGGTCTAACTGTATATATCTAATCCTATAACACCCAAAACAACATTTTACCAAAAGCTGTACACCACAAACACACGTCATTGTTGTTTCTTATCCCCTTGTGTAAAAAGATTGCACGAATACCAACATGAGTGGAATAGGGTGTAGCTTTCATTGATCATGGCACATTTTGGTGAAACTTTGCCTGTAATTTGAGGCTGTTCCTATTATGTGATCTCATGGAATGGGGTGTAGGGGTACAGCTTTCGTTGATCATGGCACATTTTGGTGAAACTTTGCCTGTAATTTGAGGCTGTTCCTAACATGTGATTTCATGGAATGGGGTGTAGCTTTCATTGATCATGTCACCACGGCACACTTTGGTGAAACTTTACCTGTAATTTGAGGCTGTTCCTAACATGTGATCTCATGGAATGGGGTGCAACTTTCGTTGATCATGGTCACCATGGCACACTTTGGTGAAACTTTGCCTGTAATTTGAGGCTGTTCCTAACATGTGATCTCATGGAATAGGGTGTTGCTTTCATTTATCATGGTACCATGGCACACTTTGGTGAAACTTTGCCTGTAATTTGAGGCTGTTCCTAACATGTGATCTCATGGAATGGGGTGTAGGGGTGCAGCTTTCATTGATCATGTCACCATGGCACACTTTGGTGAAACTTTGCCTGTAATTTGAGGCCGTTCATAACATGTGATCTCATGGAATGGGGTGTAAGGGTGCAGCTTTCATTGATCATGTCACCATGGCACACTTTGGTGAAACTTTGCCTGTAATTTGAGGCCTTTCATAACATGTGATCTTATGGAATGGGGTGTAAGGGTGCAGCTTTCATTGATCATGTCACCATGGCACACTTTGGTGAAACTTTGCCTGTAATTTGAGGCCGTTCATAACATGTGATCTCATGGAATGGGGTGTAAGGGTGCAGCTTTCATTGATCATGGAACCATGGCACACTTTGGTGAAACTTTGCCTGTAATTTAAGGCTGTTCCTAACATGTGATCTCATGGAATGGGGTGTAGGGGAGCAGCTTTCATTGATTCTGTCACCATGGCACACTTTGGTGAAACTTTGCCTGTAATTTGAGGCCGTTCATAACATGTGATCTCATGGAATGGGGTGTAAGGGTGCAGCTTTCATTGATCATGGAACCATGGCACACTTTGGTGAAACTTTGCCTGTAATTTGAGGCCGTTCATAACATGTGATCTTATGGAATGAGGTGTAGGGGTGCAGCTTTCATTGATCATGTCACCAAGATTGGTGAAAGTCTTACTCTGCCTAACACACACATAATACATACACAAAGAGTGGAAAAAAAAAACTCCCCAATAATGATAATAATGATTAAAAAAAAGAAAAGAGAATTTATTATTGTATCTAATTAAACAGTGGTAAGAAAAAAAGAAAAATTTGCATTTAAAAAAAAAAAAAGAAGAGGTTTATTTTTTTAAAACCACCGGCAGATTCAAATGGCTAAACACTGCATGTGGTCTCTTCAGTTTCATTTTGGCAGTCGTAATGAGAGGTGTAGTGGTGGAGGAGTGAGTTTTTTTTTTGCATAGATCATCATACATTACATAACCTAGCTTCTGTCTTTTTTTTTTTTTTAAAGATTACGATTCATTAGAGCTTATATTCCATCATAATAATACACAACAATATTCACAAATTTCATCCTTTAAAAGAAAAAATCTCTATTTTTTAATAATAATAAATATTATAATTTATAGCTGTAAAAAAAGTGGAGGAAAAAAAAAAGGAGGGGGGGGGGGGGAGAAAAAACAAAGAGTATAAAGATAGAACAGAAACAAAAAAAAAAAAAAAATCCTTGAAAAATACATAAAAAAAAAGTTCAGATATTATTAATGTTTTTTTTTTTATTCATATTTTTTTTTTACCTCTCTTTAAGAAACAGACGAGTAGATAATAAAGAGTTTCAATACACAAATAAAAAATATATATATTTACAAGTTACATTTATCAATAAATAGGTTTTTTTATTTCCCCCCCATGTTATTTCCAAAAAGAAGAAACAGAGAGAGAGAAAGAAGAAGAAGTGAAAACAAAAAAAGGGAGGGGGAAAGGATCTAAGTGCTAAATTACATATTTTATATATATATAAAAAAAAAAAAAAGAATAACACCAAGAGTAGAAGGGGGATGAGTGTGAAAGACCATTTATATAAAATATACTCTACATTAGGGGGGTTGACTCTCTTTTTTAGGGAGGCGCCCATACGTTCCATGATTGCTGAGACCCTGTCTTTCCTATTGGTAGATTTAAGAGAGAAGGAATTGATGGAAAGAGAGATAGAGAAAGCAGAGATATAGTGTAGTTAAGTCAAATACAACAATGTCAAAAAGCCTAGAAAAAGTGGGAATAATTTTGAAAAAATGGTAACAAACAATCCGCGCGCTCAACAGGTGGTGTGAGGGGGGTCCTCCTCCAGGGTGTTGAGAGAGTCTGGCGATGGTTCCTCTACTATGTACACAGGTCACTTGGAGACGTAGGTATAAGTGCGGGAGGGAGAACGTAGGGAGGAGCTCTCTGATGAATTACAGTTCAGGAAATCCCAGATGAGGATGGTGTCATCGTGGGAACTGCTCACTATCTGGAACTCATCAAACTGGAGGCGGAAAACTCTCCCTGAATGCTCCTGCAGCGCACACATCACCATCCTTGTAGGCAATACTGTGACGTCAAGGTGACATTTAGGTACAATAACAAGGATAGTCTACCCTGGCCAACCTAAATGACGCCACAGGCTGCACGGAATCGTAAACAAAGTCTAAAAACTTTAACTATATCAAAATTTTTAACTTTAAAATGTATTAAAATATTTTAAATTTTTTATTTTATTTAACATATCGGACGCGATATCCCAGCTCGGGATACTTGCGTCTAAATACATATTAGTAGATTATATACAATTCATTTTATACAATTTAATAACCGGGCTAAAAACATAATTGAAACTTAAAACGATAGTATTCTAAAACAGAAGAGAAAATCTAAAATGGATTATTTTAGCAACTTATATACAATTCATTATATACAACTCAATAACAGACTAAAAACACAATTAAAACTGAACGATGGTTTTCTCAAACAGAAGAGAAAACACAAAATAAATTATTTTAGCAACCTATATACAATTCAATTACAATACAATTTAAATAAAAATTTATTATAATTATTTCAATATATTTTCTGTTTTTGAATATACAGACGAGAAATGAAAGTTACAAAAGAAATATAAAGTTAAATGGTGAGCCACAATTTTTTTTACGGCGGGCCGCGGGTTGGCCAGGCCTGGTCTAAACCATTGTTTTTTGGTCGCTACGACCCGGGATTAAATTCGGCATTGGGCACTTTTTTCCTGATAAAAATAAATGCTCCAATGCCCCCCCCCCCACCAAGATTATCACTACACAGACAAAACTTAAGGAAGTTGTACCTTTTACCATGTATTTCAAATATGACTTGCAGGGGTCGGTGGAAGAATGGTCTAAACTGTTAGTTTTCAACCGCTATGACCCGGGTTTGATTCCTGCATTGAACACTTATTTCTGATTTAAAAAATAAATAAATTTAAAAGGAATAAACTGCTTTGCAGTCACAATCAAGATTCCCAATCTGGGGGATTACGGAGATGGTAGGTAAGGGAGTATCATCTTCCAACCTATAGCTCCCCTGAATGAGAACACCCCACCAAAAACACAAGGTAATAAGACCAAATCTAAATAAATAAATAGTGTGTGACGTTTCTGTAACAACACTATTTATTTATTGCCTGTTGTTGTTTCTTATCCCCGTGTGTAAAGATTACACAAATTCCATGAGTTCATGCTCCTCGGGCTGTTTCATGGTAAGCTGCAGCCTCTCTCAAAGGTCCTGTTTAGTACATCAAATACAAGCCAAAATGTGTTCTGGGAGCTGCAGGTACCAAGCTACATTTTGGGCAAGTGGGGTAGATTTTGTTGTTATTTTCTATCTTTTCAATGGCTTGAGATGGCCTGTTCTATTGCCTATTTTTGTTATTATTGTCTATTTAGAATATATAATCCTTTGCTAGCAATTTTGTTGTTTTTTATCCCCTTGTGTAAAGATTACACAAATTCCATGAGTTCAGTTGGTAATTTTAGATAATAAAGTTATTATTAAAATTCAAAACTATTTTAAACGCGTAAGATTCTTTTTGAAATTAAACAATTTCTACTGCCCTTACTGCAATGGAAAAATTAAAGGGAGGGCCTGGCTTTTCCATTGCAGTAAGGGCAGTAGAAATTGTTTAATTTCAAAAAAAGAATCTTACGTGTTTAAAATAGTTTTGAATTTTTTTATAACAGATGGTGCGCAAGGGCATCGTAATATAAAAGTTATTATTGTCAATTTATTGCCTTAATCTATAATCCAAAAATGGTGGCTATCAGTCCACCATAGGTTAGGCACTCACCACAAGGGTGCGTAGGCACAAAGTACCAGGTGGGGCCCGGGGGTCTAGTGCAGCTGCCAGATCCCACACCTTGATCTTCCTGCATCATCCAACCATTGGTTGTAAGACAAACACCATCACATATAGAGGAGGGGGGACTTACCCATCGTAGGCTCCGCTCACAATCCTCTTGTTGTCAAACCTGATGCATCGAACCAACTCCTCATGGCCTTCCAAGACACGCAGGCAAGCCCCGCACTCAATGTCCCACAACCTGCCATCCACCCAGTTATCTAGATAACTATACCAGAATATAAAACAACATTTGAAAATCAAACTGCATGTGTTTCAACGAAAAATCAAAATTTATTTCAAGGAGAAACAACAATTATTTCTAACCTTAGGAATGAGGTGTGAAAGGATGAATTGTGAAGAGTAATGATAAACGGAAAAATAAAAGTGTCCAGGGTAGCCTAGTGGACATGGCATCTGCCCAGTAAGCGGAACACTGTGGGTTCGATTCCCATCCTTGGACACTTTTATTTTTCCATTTATCATTACTCTTCACAATTCATCTTTTCACAGCTCATTCCTAAGGTGGTTAGAAATAATCCGTTGTTTCTCCTTGAAATAAATTTTGATTTTTCGTTGAAAAGAAACACATGCGGTTTGATTTTCAAATGTCGTTTTACAATCACAAGCCGCATTATATTAAATTGTAAACCAGAATATAGTGAGTGAGGTGACGACGTACCTGATGGTGTTATCGGAGGATCCAGACACCACCAGCCTATCCCGGTACTGCAGGCAGGCAATGCCTCGCTTGTGGCCGTTGAGGGTCCGGACAAACTCGCAGGAAGAGGTGTTCCATACTTTGATGGTGCGGTCCCCGGAGGCAGAGACGATGTACTTCTCGTCAAAGTCCACCACATTCACTGCTGCCCGGTGACCCACTAGCACTCGCCGTAGGTTGATCTCTGCTGGACTCACCATGTCCCACACCGCAATGGACCGGTCCTGCATCACCCAACATGGATCAGTACACTTCTAACAATATATGCATAGGACGCCTCTCCTGCCAAAATAAATGTCAAAACCTGACGCCATCTATTGACCATCACCACAACTAGCGGCCTCAGGTCGGTGACAAAGCCACAACACCACCTTTGGCAAACTGAGAAACATTCACCTAGAGACCATGGTTTAGGGCTAATGGCCCTCGTCAGCCTAAGGCGAACTTTATTCCATGAGATCCACAAGGGATCTAATGGAATCTTCACAATCTATCAAAGGTGTTTTTCTGGCAAGGTGGCTGGGCCAAATCTATGTGGCTTTGTCACCGACCCGAGGCCGCTAGATTGCGGTGACGGTCAATAGATAGCGTCAAGTTTAGACGGGAGAGGTACCCTATGCTTCTATGGATCAATTTCCTCCTGGAAAATTTTCCACTTCTAACAATATCTGAAGATAGAATCCTCTGATATATAAACTGTAACAACACACTGAAGATAAGTTTCTTGCTATATTTAAACCATCTCTCAAGTTTTTAGGTATATTGCACACCCTCTTCTACAGGAATATAAAACAATTCAAGAAAATGAGATTCCAATACAGTGGACCCTCGGTTTGCGAGCATAATCCGTTCCAGAGCCATGCTCGTACTCCAAAACGCTCGTAGTGCGAAACTAATTTCTTATTTTTAATAATTGAAACTCGGGCAATTCTTCTTGCTACGAACAATTGCACAGTTTCCCACATTTTACATATTTCCCGAATCTGATCTGAAGGGAGGGATCCAAGTGAATTTTCATCCATCACAATTACGGGCAACCATCACGAGTTGCTCGTAATGCGAAATTTCACTCGTAATCCGAGGTAAAATTTTTCAAAAAATTTTGCTCGTACTGCGAAAAGCTCGTACTCCAAGGTGCTCGTAAACCGAGGTTCCACTGTAATATAATAGTATGTGATGTTTCGGCAACAGCATTGTTACCATCATCAGACAAAAGAATTTTAAAATAAATCTTTTTTTTTTAATTATTCTTTTGACTGATGATGGTAACAATGCTGTTGCCAAAGCACCACACACTATTAAATTATTTGGATTAGGTCTTATTTTCTTGTATCTACCACTGACAAAAGAGATTTTGCTATAAATTCATTCTTAGGATTTGAAGCCATCTTAAAACCACTATGAGCTCCCTACATGTGCTATTTCCTTATTCCAACCTTCTCTTTCCTATAGGGTATTTTTGTATTCAAGAATAGAAACATAAGAAACCTAGACCAAGTTGATTGGTCTTGTTATGTTTCATTCTTTCATATAACATGCTAGAACTTGCACACCTCTACAAAGGACAGTGTTCATTGCATAAATTACCATTTTTATTTCATTAGAACCTCCATGAAAGGACACTCGCGATAGAGGACACCTCTAAACAAAGAATAGTTTTCATTTGTCAAAATTACTATTTTTGCTATTTATCAACTCTCCGATAAGAAGACACCTTTCCCTAAAGGACACTTTGGCTCTGCAATTAGGTTTTGTCCTTTACAGAGAGGTTCTACTGTAATTAGCAACTCTGGTAAGAAGACACCTCTCCCTAAAGGACACTTTGGCTCTGCAATTAGGCATTATCCTTTATAGAGAAGTTTTAATGTAATTAGCAACTCTGGTAAGAGGACGCCTCTCCTTAAAGGACACATTGGCTCTGCAATTAGGCATTGTCCTTTATAGAGAAGTTTTAATGTAATTAGCAACTCTGGTAAGAGGACGCCTCTCCTTAAAGGACACATTGGCTCTGCAATTAGGCATTGTCCTTTATAGAGAAGTTTTAATGTAATTAGCAACTCTGGTAAGAGGACGCCTCTCCTTAAAGGACACATTGGCTCTGCAATTAAGCATTGTCCTTTATAGAGAAGTTTTAATGTAATTAGCAACTCTGGTAAGAGGACGCCTCTCCTTAAAAGACACTAGATGTCTTTACAGAGAGGTTCTACTGTAATTAGCAACTCTGGTAAGAAGACACCTTTCCCTAAAGGACACTCTGGCTCTGCAATTAGGCATTATCCTTTATAGAGAAGTTTTAATGTAATTAGCAACTCTGGTAAGAGGACGCCTCTCCTTAAAAGACACTAGATGTCTTTACAGAGAGGTTCTACTGTAATTAGCAACTCTGGTAAGAAGACACCTTTCCCTAAAGGACACTTTGGCTCTGCAATTAGGCATTATCCTTTATAGAGAAGTTTTAATGTAATTAGCAACTCTGGTAAGAGGACGCCTCTCCTTAAAGGACACATTGGCTCTGCAATTAGGCATTGTCCTTTATAGAGAAGTTTTAATGTAATTAGCAACTCTGGTAAGAGGACGCCTCTCCTTAAAGGACACATTGGCTCTGCAATTAGGCATTGTCCTTTATAGAGAAGTTTTACTGTAATTAGCAACTCTGGTAAGAGGACGCCTCTCCTTAAAAGACACTAGATGTCTTTACAGAGAGGTTCTACTGTAATTAGCAACTCTCTGGTAAGAGATATCTGCAACTAGATGTGTCCTTTCTAGAGAGGTTTAGCAGTAGTTTATCTACAGGTGTATGCTTGAACACCCCTAGAACACCAAACTACAGGGTAGACATACCTTGGAGCAGGTCACCATGATGCCGTTGTTAAAGCGAAGATGAAGAACTGCTTCGCAGTGGTGGATGAGGGTAGTCACCATCTCCCCCGTCTTCACGTCCCACACCCTGCTCACACCAACTCTTGTACTGGCTATGTACAACATACATATATCTTGTAGAACGACATTTGAAAATTATCCCGCATGTGTTTCTTTTGAACGGAAAAACTGAAATTTATTTCAAGGAGAAACAACAACCATTTCCAACCTCAGGGATGAAGTATGAAAGGATGAATTGTGAAGAGTAATGATAAACGGAAAAATAAAGTGTCCAGGGATGGGAATCTCATTTATTTTCTATTTATCATTACTCTTCACAATTCATAATTTCATACTTCATCCCTGAGGTTGGAAATGGTCTTTATTTCTCCTTGAAATAAATTTTGGTTTTTCATTCAAAAGAAACACATGCGGGATAATTTCAAATGTCATTCTACAATCATAAGCCACATTATATTGTATTATAAAATACATATATCTTGAAGATAGAAGAGGTGGGGGTCGGTGGAAGGGTGGTCTAAACCGTTGGTTTTCTACTGCTACGACCCGGGTTTCGATTCCCACATTGTGCACTTTTTCTGATTTAATGAAAAAATGCTCCAATGGCCCCCGATTCTTGGAAAAGTCAAACCCCACCAGTGAATGCAAATAACCAAATGGGGCTCTGGCACATTTTTAAGTGCAAAGTCAAACTGCTTTTCACGTGTTTAGACATGTGGTGCACTTAAAGTAAAAGCAGTCGCCTTCTCTACCCACCATGATTATCATGGCCTGTACCATGTGTACTAGGGATAAGCAAAAAAAATCACTTTTTTCATTCCATAGCCATATTCATGTAAAATGTTGTTGTTATTTCTTATCCCCTTGTGTAAAGATTACACAAATTCCATGAGTTCATGTTCCTCGAGCTATGATCTCATGGAATGGGGTGTAGGGGTGCAGGTTTCATTGATCATGGCACCAAGATCCAGACACACCTTGGTTAAAGTCTGACTTTGCCTGTAATTTGAGGCTGTTCCTAAACATGGAAGCCTTTGCTGCTGACTCTAACATGAGTACAGACGCAGCTCCTCTGTATCCCTGGAGAGGGACCTTTGCTGAGGTCTATCAACCGGGTCAGTTGAACTCAGGATTTTTAAAGAGGTCTTTCACCTCTTCTAACAATACTATGTACAATGTAAAATGTAACATGTGTGTGCAATGAAGTGATGTAAAATGGGGGTCGGTGGAAGGATGGTCTAAACTGTTGGTTTTCGACCGCTACAACCCGAGTTCGATATCCACATTGGACACTTTTTTTCTGTTTTAAAGAAAAAAAAAGCTCCAATTGGTCTCAATTCTTGCAAAAGTCCAACCCCACCAGCTGAGTGAAAGTAACCAAACTGGGGCTCTGGCACATTTGTAAGTGCAAAAGTCAAACAACTTTTCACATGTTGACATGTGGTGCACTTACAGTAAAAGCAGTCGCTTACTTCTACCCACCATGATTATCATGGCCTGTACCACGTGTACTAGGGATAAGCAAAAAAAAAATTGCTTTTTTCATTCCATAGCCATATTCATGTAAAATGTTTTTGTTTTTTCTTATCCCCTTGTGTAAAGATTACACAAATTCCATGAGTTCATGCTCCTCAAGCTATGATCTCATGGAATGGGGCGTAGGGGTGCGGGTTTCATTGATCATGGCACCAAGATCCAGACACACCTTGGTTAAAGTCTGACTTTGCCTGTAATTTGAGGCCATTCCTAACATGGAAGCCTTTGCTGAGGTCCATCAACCGGGTCAGTTGAACTCAGGATTTTTACCACATGTACTAGGGATAAGCAAAACAATATATAAGTACTTTACCTCACTGTGGAGT